TCAGATTATACGTTCCTGCTGGTATCTCATGCACTTCCGCCATCTATAATAGCACATTTTAATAGCATTATTTTAACCTAATTACTGAAAAAAAAACAAACGTAACAGAAAAAAAAACTGAATATGAGCATTGGTGAAATGCGCGGAATACGTGCTTCATTGAAATGCGAACGAAAAAAAAAACCGGTGAATAAATACTTCCCCAACTGGTTGGTCAGAATTATACAATGGATCGAAACGTCTTTTCTCGCTCTCACCTTCCTCAATCTATACTATTACTTTCTCCTAACTTCTTCACACTTTGCCATCTGCACTTTTAGAGTTAACCTCGAGAAGGCTGCAATCTGCCTATACAAACTGTATCGTTTGAAACGGACAGCATCTAGGCTCCGAGGGGGATGAAATTAAAACGGGAGAATCGCGCATGGTATGGACACACACTCCCAAAGTTTTAGCCTTCTAGCTTTTCTGGTTCTCGAGCTGAAAGTGGGTGACAAAAAGTGCGAACACACAGGCACACAGACAGCCTCTTTTCAGTATGCGTTTTTGCAATTTGCACGTGTGCCTCTTTTCAATATGTGTTTTTGCAATTTGCACGTATGCAAAAACACATAAAAAAATCAAAAACAAGGGGAGCAAGATCCCTGACTGGAACTAGAACCAGGGCAACCACAGAGCTGATTTCACGACCTACGCTGCCAGAAGCCAGGCACATCTCTCGTCCCTTGATCGTTAAGATATGTGTGCGGGATGCCTCCGCAATTCATATATAAATGAGGTTCGGAGAGCAAAAGTGCAGTGCATATAATTTTTTGGAAAGAACGAGGCGGCTGATCGACTCTTCTTCTCGTCGTGCACACTGTGCTTCAGAAAATGCCGGTGAAGACGCATCGAGGTCAATTCGAGATTTGGAAAAGCGCCAGCGAAAAAACTCCCTCGCAAGCAGGTGAAACACAACAACAAGACCATCTCAGCGAGGATACCCCTTATGATGATAGACGTACGCTAAGTGAACAAGCATCGCAGACTCGCTGCATGAGACGAAATGCCGGCCAGCCTCCGCTAAAACTGATCTCGAAACATCACGAATTGCTCGTTTTTTCGATCGCGCCCCATTGAAATGCAAAATCAGCCAAGGTGATAGTGAGATACAGAGACGGAGAAAGGGACGCACACCCGCTCGACTTCCTTCTGCCACAGCAACAAGATGAGAGTTAGGGACTAAGACGTATATGACTTAATGGACCGAAACGTCAATAAATAGCAACGCGCACCAGACTAGCCGGTGCGATCATGCATTTTGTGTAATTCAGCCCACT